TCTAAGCATTCAATGATCCAGGTGTGTGGCATTGAGTCATAGGCTTTCTTGTAATCAATCCAAGCGGTGCACAGGTTGGTGTGTCGGGTCTACAAGCAGTTGGTGTTTAGCTCCTCTACTATTTATGCCGATGCCCTTCTGTGTCGTGCTCATGTATTTATCCATGTGTCCGCTTATCTTAGCCGCTATGTGTCCTGACATGAGCTTCCATGTTGTAGAGAGACAGGTTATTGGCCGATAGTTGGATGGGACTGAACCCTTTGAGGGATCCTTCTGGATCAGGATTGTGCGTTAGTTAACAGTTAACCATTCAGGGTGAGTCCCATTCTGTAGCAGCTGGTTCAGTTGAACTGCCAGTCGCTCATGGAGGGCAGTGAGTGTCTTTAGCCAGTAGGCATGGATCATGTCAGGCCCTGGTGCTGTCCAGTTTTTCATACCTGAGACTCTTTCTTGGACATCTGCCACAGTGATGGTTACCGGGGCTTGTTCAGGGAGGTTGCTGTGGTCCTCTCGTAGAGAGGTTAGCCACTGTGCATTGCTGTTGTGGGACGCCTCCCTTTCCCATATGCCTTTCCAGTTAGTAGCATTCCAACAGATCCATGTTTTCGTCTCTCGCCCATTTCCGTCTTGTTCCAGTAGCCCATTTGTCATCAAGGTGCTCTGGTTCCCCAGCACCTGACGCAGACCTTGTTTGGCCGGGCGACGTCTGAGCCGGCATGTTATGGATATCTCTCATGGTATGAGGTAGGCAGTAGCTCAAAGGGTCTTGCCTAAGGACCCAGACTGGATAGTGCAATTTGTTTTTGCCGTTTTTTTTGTTTGTTTTTTTTGTGTCCCGGCCTGGATTTGAACCCGGGTCTCCTGGGTGAAAGACTGATACCTTACCTATTGAGCTCCTCCACCATTCTTAGAGACAAGGAGTCTCAAAGAATCCCCCCCATCCTCACACACATCATTCAACCAAACAGCTATTTGTAATCCATAGGGGGGCCCAGGAGAAAATGTTTGGGAACCACTGTGATACACTGACATTACTTATCTACTGTCTTTCAACCACTTTGAAAAGCTTTTCTTCGTCTCTCCAACATCTTTATCCCTCCCTCTCTTCCGTTTTCTGTTTTGTGGCCCAGAGTTTTTCCTGCCACCCATCTTTAGCTCCCTGTTGTCAGAGCACTACAATTCAAATTTAAAAGAAGAAAACGCGCCTCTGCTCGTTCTGGAAGGGAGAACCAAGCTGTATGGGAGGGCAGAGCGGCTGGCAGGAGGGGAGGGACGTCTAATCAGTGCTGTTCCTCTGTTATTGATCATTTCATTCACAAACAGCTGTTAAATGCAGACGAGAAAAAAAAAATCCTCACATCGTTTTTGTGCCCCTATGCGTTGCATACACTGCTTACCCACTTTTTGCACCACTGAGCACAAGCACTGCAGAACCAGAACACAGTTCACATTTCTTTTTTTATGAATTAGCTTATGGGACACAGCCTTATAGGACTGGGTCAATCAATCAATCAATCAATCAATCAATCAATCAATCAATCAATCAATCAATCAATCAATCAATCAATCAATCAATCAATCAATCAAATTTTGTTTGTATAGCACATTTCAGCAGCAAGGCATTTCAAGGGGCTTTACATAATTAAAAAACAAAATAAGAACAGCATGTGACATTGAATAAACAGTAAGAAAGAGAAAGAGATTTTGGAAAAAGGAAAAAAAAAGAAAAAGATTTAAAAAAGAAGACGAAGAAAAAAAAAGATAAAAACAAACTTTTGTTATGGTATTTAAGCGCCTGTCGTAGCCGGTCTCCGCCTTCCGTTTAACACGGGTATTATCCAGGTATTATCCAGGTATTATCCAGGTATTATCCAGGTATTATCCAGGCCCCGTCGCCTCACAGGACAAGATCTCCAACCTTGCAGCACCAGGCTCCGTCCACCTGTCACGCAAATTTTTGCGCTAGGACTTCGTCGTCCTACATGGATTTTTGTGCACTATTTTTACCTGTTAGATTCTGGAGTTTACAGGGTTTTTCTGTGCACACAATGACCCTCAGTCACTCGCCACTTTTACATAAATAGATAAAAGTATAAACATTTAAAACATCGAAGACATCAAAACCCGCACTCCTTGAGGCTGAACACGAACCGATCGAACCTGTTGGACTTTTATCAGCTCTGTGGTCACAGAGGTTTGGAGAATCGGCCGACATTCTTAAATCTTGCCGTCTAAACCAGACTTAAGATTCACAAGCTCTACTCATCTCCTCTCGACCACTGCCCAAACACTCTGACTCTAGTCGCTATAGTAACGTTTACATATCCCTTCAAAATAAGATACAGATGCGCCACAAAACCGAACATTTTACTTTAGTGAAAATTTTAACTCACGATAATGACTAACGGGAGCCCTGAGCTTGTTTCTCTGCAACGAGACGGTCCAATCTGGGAGTGATGGGAGACAACGACACCCAAAGTGTTGCTTATATCCACAGCCTGCTGGGTCTCTACGTGGTGAAGCAGTTTGAAGCTTCATTGCCTCATTAGCAGCCGGTCGCCTCATGTTACACAGAGCGGCTTGTAATGTGGGACTCATCTACCGGTCCGGGATAAATCCATTCTCCTGTCTCTTCTCTGGGCCTTTTCCCCTTTGCAAAGAAACTTTCCAAAGACATCTGATCCGTTTCTTACTCATTTTGCTGCTTGTGGGCTCCGTGTTGGTGCGCAAGTAACTGAGAGAATCCGGTTAAAGGATTTTCAAAATAAAAGATCCTCCAGACTCAAATAATACATAAAACATAATTTCTTGGGCGGCCCGGTACCAATTGGTCCATGGACCGGTGGTTGGGGACCACTGGTCTAAATGATCTGGAAAATGAGTTAGAAATGACGCGTGCGCGCGCGCGCGCGCGCTCGCACACACACACACACACACACACACACACACACACACACACACACACCGCCTTAACCTGTTTAATGAATCCATGACGTCACAATAGACCGACCCCCCCATCCCCTCCCGCTATATTTGGCTAAAGAACTTCTGGCTGTCTGCTGCCACCTGGTGGCCAATTGGTGAATGACTAAGATTCCTGACCTGATCTGGAGTCTCGCCCCCCGGGGGGGTGAAACCCGGGAACGGTTCCCCCGCCGCCCTGGCCATCTCTCTGAGGTCCTCAACCCGTCCGCCTTCTGCGACCCCAAAACTCTGGGAAATAACGAGGCATTACAAAAAAAGCTTTAGCATTCTTCAACTAAACCTTTTATCTGGAGAACCTATTCCATCACAAATCACCTACTTTCTCTTTCAGCAAAGGGTCACACACCATCTGGAGCCGCAGACAGCTGCTGTTCTGCTGCATGATCTTCTCAGCAGTCTGCAGGTCAAACCAAAGCAGACAATAACAATAATCCTGATGATGATGATGATGATGATGATGATGATGAAGCTCCTGAAACATCAGCGCCTTTTTTTGGATCAGAAACATGTTGAGCTTTGAAGGTTGGTCTCCTCTGATCACAGCGCCTTCAACATGTCTGCTGTGATTCCTTCATGGCTGTGAACACTGCTACTGACTTGGTGACTTCATTTTATTTACAAGTATCAGAGTAAAGGGGCTCAACAGAAGTTTTATGCTATATATTTCAAGTGAGAATCTCTTTAAGCCCTCTTGAGTTTTATGACCGAAAATTTGGGAGTACGAATACTTCTGGAACGAACTGTACACTCAAACCTTCACAGTGTAAACAAGCCTCCGGCCACCAGGAGGCAGCAGTGCTCAAACTAATCAACAGGCTGCCTGTTGAATCCAGCAGAAGAAGAAGCCAACAGAGAAGGAAACGAGTCTGATGAAGAATTAAGGCAAGACAGAGATTTTCTTTTTGAAATACAATAATTAAGTAGAATAAAGATGAAATATTACCAGAAGGAAGTTGCAAAATTACAAGAAAAAAATATTTTGTTGAGAAAATCCTTGAGCAGTTCAGTTGATGGACTCAGTCGTTTTCTTAATTCGATGCTGATTACATGTTTAAAGTTTTAGTTTTCACCTTTAATGCAAAGTTGCTCTAAAAGTTGCATTAAAAAATCCATTAAAATGCCAACTTTGCATTAAAAGTGTCATTATTTACCGAATGACACTTCATGACATAAAGACTCCTTCATGTTTATGACAGATGTCATGTCAGTCTTATCCTCACCCCTTCAAATAAAGTGTTACCATTTTAGTATAATACTATAATACTATAGTATTCAGTCCCGGGTCAGTCCCGGGTCAGTCCCAGGTCCTGGACCGGGTCAGTCCCGGGTCCTGGACCGGGTCAGTCCCGGGTCCTGGACCGGGTCAGTCCCGGGTCCTGGACCGGGTCAGTCCCGGGTCCTGGACCGGGTCAGTCCCTCTGCTGTCCCTCTGTAGGAAGTGGTGGGACGGCAGGAGGAGGTTTGTTCTTCTCATCCAACGTAAAAACTGCAGACGTAGCTGAGCTTTCTTCATCAGACCAGAGATCTGAAGGAACTGGTCAAAGTACCAGTCATCTGTATCCCCAGGAATTTAATGTTCTTATAATGTAGTTCTTATAAAAATTAAAATTTATTCTGGTAATAATAAAAAACTTGTTTGGCCCAGATTGTGGTAAAGTGACTGGCAGCAGAAAAGACCAGAAATATGACAAAGTCTGTGTAACCATCTGGTTTATCATGAATGAAAAACCTTAAGTTTTATTTTTAATAAATCTGATTTGATAATCAGGTAATGACAAGGTGCCAGTGGTTTATACAGATAAATAAATACTATCAGATTCTCAATAGTATTTCAACTCTGGGATGTGAAAACATGCGTGATGGGAATAACGAAGAACCAGCGCATAAAGTTCTGCTGCAGTTCGGGTCTCACCTGCTGCGCGCGCCGCATGTCGCTGCTGAACACGTTGCTGAAGCCAACGTCTCTGAGGTAAGAGCCTGCAGCCGCAGCCTGCTGCCGACCCGTCTCTGACAGGGAGGAGTCCACGGCCTGGCCTAGGAAATGGATCAGAACCAGAGGAATCAGAACCAGAGGAATCAGAACCAGAGGAAATCATTAACATGCTGCAGATCTTCCTCCAACCTTGTAACAGTCCTGCCTTGTTGTACTCCGTCTCTCCGCTGCACAGAACAGAAGGTTGATGGAAATTATCATCAATCATCCATCCATCAATCACCCATCACCCCCCCCCTCCTCTGACTGAGTATAAATAACAGTAAAGTCGTGTTGATTCTGCCACCTTGTGGTTAGTGTGTGCTACAGCAGTGTTCACTGGACTGACCATTAAAACCAGTATTATGAACTGGGAAGCAGTAAAAGCTGCTTCTCCATGCTAACTCGGTACCACTGACTTCTGACCTGGAGCGTTACCATGACTACCAAACACCTGCTGCGTTGCTTCATGTGACAGCAGACATGCAACCAGCTGCAGCCGGTCCACACACACCCACACACACACACACACACACACACACACACACACACACACACACACACACACACACACACACACACACACACACACACACAGAGAGCAGGGGACCTACTGCCGAACCAGGGTGAGTCCGACCCGCAGCGCCTTCATCCTGCAGCTGCTCCGCTGCTGGGGACGGGGCGTCCTACCAGAGGACAGTCTGTCCACGTCCAGCCTCTGTGTGAACTCTGACCCCTTCAAACCGGAGCAGCGCCCGGCTGTGACGTGGGAGCAACATGACGCACACCTTCCAAAATAAAACTCTGGAAAGTGAGGCAGGCAGACATTTAAAGATCTATTCTGGTTCTGGTGCATTTCCTAAACAATCAAACTATAAAACATTTTAAAACCTGCAGAAAGGAACAAAGAGTTCATTCCTCTAAACCAACGATTCATTTCATACGAATAAAACGTTCATGAACTGTCTGATGTCCTCGCCGTCTTATCTCCGTTCAGCCTCTGTTGTCTAATGCAAAACTCCACTTCACTGCATTTAGTGAAAGAATTCATTTTTACTGCAGATCACAGGAAGAAAGGAAAGTAACTCATTTACAGCAAACATCAGAAACTCCTTCTGGGTACAGAGTCAAAAATGAGTTTCATCTGAGAGGAAATACTCAGCCTAGGGGAAAATTTCTGGAAAAATGATGAAGAAATGCATAAATGAAGTGATTTTAATGATTAGTTATGGTTGTAGTAACCGAAACGATGAAATCAAGACTTTTGGTTTTACAGGAACGAATATTCATCACCAGGAGTGTCGTCCATTTTGTCTGAAGGTCAAAGGTGAAGAGTTAATAACTGTTGTGCAGGTTGAAGTTATGAGAATTTTAATTTGATCAGAGAAACGCACCAACACTGAAAAAATATCCAACTCAAAACTGTCACGCAGAAAAGTTATTCATAGGTTAATTTTGTCTTATTTCAAGACATATTTGCTCTAGAAACTAGAAAGAAATACTTGGCAGGATTTTATGGTTTTGCAGTGAATGCAACAAAAAATGTTAATTTAATCTGAACTGACTCCACTGACAATAAATTAATTTAAATACAACCAGCATCATCTGGTTGAGCATCTGACCTCATCAATCATGTTATTTGGTCGTAGTTGTTAAATGATCTAATTATATTAAACAGTTTTTTGCCATGTGGGTCAAAACTGTAAATTATTTGTATTTAGCAAAATGTTTTTTAAATGCATAACTTTAAACAAAACAACATCCTAATATAAAGAAGTTTGATTTCTGATGAACCTGCAGGTTTCAGCTGTAAATCGGTAGCAATGATGCTATCAGGTGAATGTCCAACACAGCTAAAAGAGAAAGTAAAGTTCAAATGGACCAATAAAGGATTTAGATACTTGGGTATAATTATCACACCTCAAATTTCACAGATATTCAAAGCAAATTATGAGAAACTGAGGAAGGAAATTATAAAAGACCTAGAAAGATGGGAGATCGTCGGGGGAAAGGTGGAAACGATCAGGATGAATGTCTTACCATGACGACTGTTTGTATCCCCATCACTCCCAGTTTCCATTCCCAACTCCTTTTGTAAAGAGATGGATAAAAGGATATCAATGTTTGTATGGCAAAATAAAAAGGTAAGAATTAAACTCAAAATACTTTACTCCTCAAAGAGTATGGAGGGTTAGGTTCACCTGAATTAAAGAAATATTATTGGGCTGCTCAACTGATATCCTATGGTTAGGAAAAGGATCAAGAGACAATATGGGCAGATATGGAGCAAAGAGCCTGCCAAAACTGTCCCTAGATAAACTGCCCTTTACAACAAAGATGGTTCAAAGAAATCTCAAGATTCAAAATCACTAGATTAGGGAAACAATTAATATTTGGTCAAGGATAAAAAAAAGAAATTACATTTTCCTGACTCTATATCAAATTTTTTTTAAAATAGCTAAGATTCCATATTTTATCCCAGCTACTATGGATGCAGGGTTTGAGAGATGGACGAATGGGGCACTGGTATTTCTAGCACAGCTCTTTAAAGGGTCTCAATGAAATCAGCGGGCATTTAATTTACAAAAAATGACTTTTATAGATATCTGCAGCTCAGACATTACCTTCAGAATCAAAGTGAATGGCAGAAAATCTCAACAGAAATGACCAAGACTGAATAAATTCTGGCCCTGCCACAGACTGGCGACCTGACCAGGTGACCTGACCAGGTGACCTGACGGGGACCTGATCAGGTGACCTGACATGGACCTGACCAGGTGACCTGACCAGGTGACCTGACGGGGACCTGATCAGGTGACCTGACATGGACCTGACCAGGTGACCTGACCAGGTGACCTGACGGGGACCT